TATAAAATAAAATAAACAATTGGTATTCTTAATCAATTTCATTATTTTTTTTAATTTAATAAATAATTACTATTCCAACCTCCTATCTCTAACCTAAGTAACAAATAATAAACAAAACTCAATAAATAACCATAAACATGAAATTATATTAATGAAGATTTCAATTACATGTATTTAAATTATTGTAAATAGTTATTTATGGGCCAGTGGTAATATTTTAAATTAGCAACTATAGGAAAACTGAGTAGACAATAGACTCGATCTAAGTAAAATAAATAACTCGTGTGGAAGTAATGCGAGAGCAATCCCCTCCAGGCAACACGATTTAACCTAGAAAAAAAAATKTAAAATATATAATTCTGATCAATACTTAATTTGATGATCAGTCAATGGAACGACATATTTTTATTTTGTTTTTGATTAATTTGTTTTATGTGAACGATCCTGTTTAGTGTTTAGTTTCTAAATCACCAAATTTTGCATGGGTCAAGTTCATATTATTAAACAATAAAAATGGTCCTAATCCGAGTTTTCATTATTAAATAAAAATGGTCCTGGTCCGGGTTTTCATTATTAAATAAAAACGGTCTTGGTCCGGGTTGGGKTTTTTTTTTTATATAAAATCCGAGCTGGGCTGGTCCGGGCTTTTAAAAAAATCGTGAGCTTGGTTAAAAAATGGTCTGGGTTGAAAAATATATTTTAGAAATTGGTCTGGTCCGGTTAAACAAATCGTCTTAAATATTTGGTCTGGTCCGATCCCATTTTTATAGGACCGGGCTGTTCTCTACCTAATTGTTTATAGTATAATACTAGCTGTAGTATGTGTATATACTATATATAAATAATAATATGTATTATCTAAAACTTATAAGTATATACATGGGTTTTTCCTATATAATATGATTACTATATATTGCATATATTTTTTTGGGGGAGGGGGGTTTAAAATTTCTAAATATACCATGATTAATACTAGAATAAATAAATGAATATTCATTGAATGTGAAATACATATTATATCTTGAAAAT